TAATCAAGATAAATTAATAATAAAGTTAAAATAAGAAAAAACATGTTTTACCTTAAAAAAATAAAAATAATAATTAATTTAAAATAAATTTAAAATTAAAAAACAGTTATTTAAAAAAAATTACGTATTTAAATAGTATTATTGCCACATTCTTAATATTCTTAGTGCTAATGACCTTTTTATCTTAAATAACAATTATATTTTTTAATTTATTTTAGATTTAGTTTACCTTTCCATTCACATCACACCATCTTTTTCAGGAGCGCAACCGCTAATTGTATTCCCTAAGCTTAGCTTAGCCACCACGCCCATCCCGTTCAAATTCAGAAGCTGCGCCATCTTCTACTCCGTCGACATTAGAGGCCCACCTTCTATCTCTGTTTGCGATCTCAAATCCAAAATCATCCAAACAAGAGCCTCAATATCTACAAAGATTCCATCTTCTCCGATCATATCACAGGCTAAGGTCACCTCTCGCTAGCTCTCTTTCTTCAAGTCTCTTTATATATAGGAATTTTTTAACCTATGGGATTTTTTTAACGTATATTGTCATTGTACAAATGAAAAAATCCCATATATATTAAAAAATATTAGGATATTTGGTTAATTTTTTTTTTTGGTAAGAAATGGAGAAATATATTAAATAATGAGAAAGTACAGTAAAAAACTCTATCACATGGCATATAGCCTAAAGCATGAGAGCCTAGAAAACAATTTAAACTATGCCTATAACGAATATAAACAATTAAGTAAAGAGAACCATCTCCAACTAGAGATTGCAATTGCAATCGTTGTATGGGCTAAATAGAACTACTAAAGTAGAAAGGAGAGTCACTATGAGCATTGAAAGCTACTGGACAAGTCCTCACCTATTTAACCAACTTCATGGGGAGAGCAAGGGATTTCAGCAACAAACAGTCCCCAACCCACGAGTTGCTGCCCTAATTTCCGCCGACTACTTTCAATCATGTGCCCATCATTACCGATCCTCTGAAAACCCTTGCAGGCAAAACTTTGTTAAGGGAACTAAAGCTCCTTTGCCAACGTGAGTAGCATGCTCCCGTGCAGATCAGAACCCAACGTGCCACTGTAGCCATATCGGTATTTGGTTGTTAGATCGAAAAGTGGAGTGCGCTAGTTTCTCCGATTGCCACCCCTGCCAAGATCTCATCTAAGGAGACATGCATGAGTGAAAATCCGATTCAGAGGATGGGATAAATCCAACCACCAGCCAGATCAAGTCCCTCGGTATCCAGATTCAATCATAAAAAATCAACAACCGATGAGGATCGAAAGGAGCCATTGCCTTGTGGTCCCTTGGGTTGAAGTTTCCAAAGCAAGACAGACGATGATGATGGAGGAAGAGAGCAAGAGGAGAAACCCTTGTCGGAGAAGAAGAGGAAGAGGAATGAACTCCTAACCGAAGAGAAACCCTAGGGAGAAATCCATAACCGTCGCCCCCAACCTTGGGTAGAGCACGGGAGATTTTGATATTTGGTTAATTAAAATACCAAAAATAATAATAAACTTAAGGGCAATAATATGGTGGACGAAAAAAAGAACAAATTAATGGGATGAATAACATGGTAAGTCACCTCATTAATATATAAATTTTAAATGCCATTCTTAATGAACTATTACGCATAAAAAATTCACTAAAAATAATTGAATGTTTCACAAACCATCCTAATAATATTTTAAATAAGAGTACCTCTTCATTTTGGCCTTTTAATATAAATTAAGGGTATTGATGGGTTTTAACTCGGAAACAACTACCAGGGTGTTCACCCACAAATAGAGATTAGTGGCTAATATTTTGAGCAATTAAAATGTCATATCTATTTTATTAATAAGATTATCTCTGTGTTGCTTAGTTATAATTAGCAACAATAATGTTATTATTATGAAAATTATAAAATATTATGTTTAAAAATATTAGTTGTATTGAATTTGATGAATATAAGTAAGAAAAAAATACATCTCAGTTTTGACTCTTTTGAAATCGTAATATTAAATTATATCGTTTTATTTAATTAAAATTTAATTAAAAAATAAAAATACATATTATTAAATATTAATATTTAAATTTAAAAATTAATTATATTATAATATATCATCAGATTATAGATTTATATATCAACATTTAATAGAGTAGATTTTTAAATTTTAAATTGAAATTTTAATTTTTAAATAAGTTCAAACTTTAATTTTTTTTTAAATATCAAAACTGATTCATATGAATCTTTATAAATAATTAATAATTATAACTTATGATTTTTAATTGATAAAATAATTAATATTTTTAAATTTTATTAAAAAAATAAAATTTTAATAGCATTGACAATATTAATTACAGCAATAAGCACACCCATTTCTAAGGTTGCAGTTCTTATAAAGCGCCCCCGTATAAGATGTAGGGTCCCCGTTCCCGGGCTAACCGAAATCCACCCACGTGGGTGCGCACCCTTTTCCCTAGTCCCCACCGCCTTTAGCTTTGCTGGGTTCTTAATTACGCGTAGCTTCGCTTTTATGGGATTCTCAAATCCTATCATCTAATGCCAAAATTTCTCCCTCATTACTTGGAAGAATATGAATCCTCTTGCAGTAGTTAGCTTGGCTTCTCGCCAACATAAAAACGACTTTACGATCATTATAGAGGAAGTTTTAACAAAAATACAAGGGTAAGGCATTTAAAGCAGTGTTTTTGGGTCTGGCGGGGCCTGGTCCGGTGGTTGACTCAGTTTAGTCATTGAGTTTGGTTAAATTAGTTGAATTGATTTATTCAATCGGTCTAATCAGTCAATTTAAAAAATAATTTTTTAATATATTTATTAAATTTTACTATTGTATATTACTTTTATTTTATTTTTAAAAATAGTCATTATAAGATCAATTTAAAAAGCATCATTTAGATCATTTAGAATAATAAATTTAATTAAATACATATAATTTTTAAGATCTAAACTAATAAATATTAAAATATATAATATA